CTTTCAAAAACTATGCTTTCATAGATAGGAACTAAGAAAAGAAAAAGAAATGTCCTTAGCTAAAAAGTGAAAGCACTTCCAAATGTATACTCCAAATGAACTCAAATACTCTATCATAGCTGATATTTACTCTAAAAAGCAAAAGTTCTTATACAAAAGCAAGACAATGTCATCACTCAAAAATGTTTCTAATCAAAAGGGTAGCTTGTTTAAATTCTGGATTCAGATTCACACAAAAATTACCTAAAAGCTAAAATGTCTTGGTAAAACAGCTGATATTTAATACATAGATTTAACTTCATACCTGCTTTATTCTACTTCAGGACTTGAAACTTTAATGCATTAAAACCTAACCTTAGCATTAAACGAGAATGAAGCAAGAGCTTTAGCATCAACAACAACAAAAAATCTATCGAATGAAATAACTATGTGAAACATACATGCTCTGGGGAATTCATAAAAACAGAGCCAGAACTTTAAAGTTATTTCATTCTTCTTACCTTGAGAGGTTCCCTAACCTACATTAACTGCCTGAAGGCACACTGCTTAATATTTAAATAAATTTTAATAAGACTGCCTATAATACTCATTAAAAGCTGTATAATGACCATTTTAAAAAGATTATTTTAACTGACTTTAAGCAAGCCATCTGGCAAACAATATTTCTAATAAAAATCAGCTACTGGGTTTGACTACAATATTAACCCATAGAAAACTTAAGATGTAAACTGAAGAGAATTTTCAAACAGGAATATAAAAAGATTTAATAAGCCAGGGCCTATTTTTAAATATTTTTCCAAACTGCTTTAAAAAAATCTTAATGTACAGTTCAGATTAAACAAATGGACTTTTTAGACAACATTATGGCAAATGGAAAGCCATAGTATTTAAGAACATAACATTAGAATCTTGTCACATATAATAAAATTCAATGCCAATGCTTTTTGTAAGTTTAAACGTGACTTTTAGCATAAGAACCAAAAGAAAAGACAGGAGGAAAAGAAGATGAAATAGTAGTTGTTTCCTAAATTAGATCCAGAGACTAATCCCAACATTGAAGTTTCTAGAAGTATTTTCATATACTAACTATTTGTTTAAAAATACAATCCATCCTGTGAGCAGACACAGGAAAAGAAATATAATGTATTGTTTATTACATTCTGTTCATTACTAAATAAGGACTGAAAAGATGCTAACATTTATATCAAATACAATGTTAATAAAGATTCAAACATTAAAGTAACTAGGTCTTTAATGATAAATTTTAAAAAGGAAACTAGAAATTCAAACTGCAATGCTATTCTAAACCAATCTGTTGTAATTAATTGTACTAATGAATACAGTAAATTACTACGAATTATTGAACCACCATGTTACATGATGTAAACAGTGAGGAAAGTATGTGCAGTAATGACTTGCAGGTGAAGAAAACAGGAAGTGGAGGGGGAGGACTCACAAAACCAGTATTAGCTCCAGATTACACACAATGTACAACACTGGCAGTTTCACATCTTGCTTCATGGACCACCGAATTTAAAGAAGAGCTTCATGCCTGTGGCAGTTCAACAAGGCAGCAAAACTTGGTACTTTTGAGGTCTAGAGAGATATGTAAGAATAATTGGTATGCGAAGCTAGGTAACCTCAAAACAAAGTCCAAAAATCCTTCACACTAGGTGGAATATGAAATGTTAAAAGCAAATGTTCATCTCATATCCATGGTATATGTTGTTGTCCTTAAGTGCTGTTGAGTCAGTTCCAACTCACAGCAACCCTGTATAGGGTTTCTGAGGAACAGCTGGTGAGTTTGAACCACCAACCTTACAGTTCAAACTGACCTTGAGGTCCAGTGATTATCCTACGGCTCATCAACAGTATATAATTGGAATTTAATTCAATTAACAATATAGAGGCAAAGCATTACTTAAAAATATATATTCCTCTGGATAAAATGATGAATCTTTCAATAACATAAAACACTAATATTTAATAATTGATTTATGTCATTTCTCACCAAACTTGCATCTACAAAAATATAAAACACAGCTACATATGTCACTTCAACAGTTAAAGCCACACCAGCAACTTAACAGTTTCAAGAACGAACCAGTCAAAGTCACTAAGGTAAACGCCACTATTCTATTTTATACGCTGCTGATCCCAATTTAGAATCAGAATGCAATTTCAACTCATAGTACATAGTTTTATGAAATTTTGTCTAAATTTCTTGTTGTTGTTGTCAGGTGTCTTTTAGTTGGTACTGACTAATGACCCCATGTACAACAGAATGAAACACTGTCAGACCCTTTGCCATCCTAATATGTTTGAGCCAATTGCTGCTACCACTGTGTCATCGGGGATCTTTCTCTTTTTCAGTGACCCTCCACTTTACCAACCATGATATACTTCTTCAGGGACTGGTCCTTCCTGACAAAAT